GAGCGCAATCAAATCCAAGTCTTCCATGAATTGAATCACCAGATCCGCTGTATACCGCTGTCGAACTGATTGAGACTGGTCTCCAAGACGATCGGGGCGGACAGGGTGCCATTGTTGAGAAGTCTGAGAACGTTGAACTCCGAATCCAGAATTGAGACCTAAACACAGAATAGGTAAACAACGATGCGCCTTCCAGAAGGGTAGTTGTCGTAGCCATCGAGTAAGAATGTCGCAAGCCTTTCGGTATGCTCCGACCTGGTTGGCGTACTTGGGCGGCGGGGGGTAGTACACACTGCAGACTGCCAGATCATAGTGTCTGCATCGGGCGCGGATGGCGAGTCCTCGCCCCCCAGGGGGAGCGGTCCAGACCTTGGTGGCCGATCTCTCCGAAAATCGACCCCCAAGCAGGATGGCACACCCAGCAGCTTTATTGGTGTGCGGCCCTCGGCGCCCGCCAGCGGATATGCACCATCTCGTGCGATATTCACAATCAAAAAATGCGTTTCCAATGTGCTGGGGGATTGGGATATGTCTAGCGCACCCCCGTACCGTTGAGACAAACAGAAATCCATGTTGGAGGTGCGCCCAGCAATTTCTTGTAGGCGGATACCACATGCAGCAGAAAGCGGGCTGTACTGCAAAAAGGACAGAGCCTGCATCGACACGATGACGAACTGGCCGACAGCCGCTGCGTGGAATTACAGCAAGCCTGAAGACAAGAGCTGCAAACAAAGGGGTCCTGAATGAGGGACGTAGCAAGTGCCGAAACGCCGGTATGCTTCAATAGAACGGACTGCGTGGGTGTGTGGGACGAAGGCCTGACTCTCAGCCCTCGGAGGAAGAGGAGAAACAAGCAGGGAAGCAACGCCAGCCGCGACGGGCTCCAGCGATTCGTTGGGGCGGCCGGAAGTGGGCGAGCTCTCAGAGGCCGAAGCTCTCGGATCGAGGGTGGATCGTTCGAGGGTCGGGGGTCGAGGGTCGAGGCCTGCTTGAAACACTCGAGATCTCCTGAGAAAAGTCGGATCCTGTATAACCCACCGCGCAACCAAGTGCATCTACGTCATCCAAGAAGATGCCCAGGCAGAGCCAGATGCTGACCCAGAGGGCAGACTGGTCGTTCTCGGCAGAAATCCCACCACGAGCTCGTAAACCGCAACCAACTCGAAGGATACGCTATTGAAGCTGGAGTTACCGCGGCTCGAGGTTGGATGATCGAGGCACGAGGATCCAGGTTCGAGATTGGGGAATCGAGGTTTCTCGGGCCTTCGGTGGTCGAAGACTGAGGGCCGCGAATCATTTGGGCTTCTCTTGCCCTTACCGTGCCTCGAGAGACTTCGGGGGCCCTCTGGACCTCCAGAGACCCACAGAACCCTCCGAGGACGACCTCCGGGTTGGCCAGCGGGCTGCGCGGCGCCGTGGGCTGCGCTGCCAGCGGGGGGTCAGCGCCGGACCGGGGCGGACACTGGCGTGGCCATCTGGCGCCAAGCAGCGGCCATGGTCCACGCGTGCCTCCCCGAGCTGTCCCTGGAAAAACGCCTCCTCTTCAGCGAGGCGACGTCAGCCGCTGCGCCAGCGTGGGCGCAGGCTAGAGGTTGGCACAAAGGTTCATGCTAATGCGGGATGACGATTACTGAAAAATGTGAGAGAACGATTTGTTTAACAAAAATCTGCAAATTCTGAACAACTTCCTGACTGGAGGAGAACGATTAAAAAATACTTTTCCAGCCCGCGGCCGGTTTTTCCTAATCGTCATCCCGGGCGCCGCCGCGTGAACACGACCCCCGGTAATTTATTAATCGTCATCCTCCATTACTTGGGGGGGGAGGCTTAGAAAGCGCCGCCGCCAGGGGTTTTGAGAGGCCAGGACGGCACGGGTCGGACGGCCCTCAAAGACAACCCGGCGGCTCGCAGGAACCCGAAGCGGCTGGTCGCTCGCCAGTTGTGACTACCTACCGGATCACCCCGACCCAACCCGAAGATCCACACTTCGGCTTGGAGGGGGGTACAGGTTCCATATGTGTGTTTTTCCCATGTTCCCCGACGCCCCCCCCCCACACACACACAATGGAAATGGAAGGCAGAATGAGGCCTTGGGGTTGGGGGTGGGGTGGCGTGGCGGGTGGCGAAGCTTGGCCCCCACGATGGCCGCTCTCGGGCCCCAGAGCCATCCAGAGCTGCCCGCGACGAAGAGACTTTGGGCGGCGAGGTCCACCGCCCCTGCCTGGGGCCGAGGAGCGGTGCACACGCCCCCTTGGCTCGGCCAGGGAGCCATACCTCGCCATCGCTCGGACGTCCATTCCCCGTGCATGTTTCGGTTTCGTGCGTCCATTTTCTCGCAGGATGGCTCGAAATCCACTTCGACGGTCCGCGCCGAAGAAAATGCACACGTCCGAGCGATGCCAAGAAGTTGCCCGTGAAAAAACTTGGGGCGGCGAGGCCTATATGGGAAAATGCGCCAGTGCATCTCCCTGAATACACTAAAGGAGGGGGGGGGTCCAGAACCCCACCCCCCTCCCCCCCTTCAAGGGGGGGGGGGTCCGGTCCCCCCTTTAGGGAGGGGTTCCGGGGGGGGGGGGTCCCCCCCCCCCCCCTCCCCCCTTGGCGCTGGAAAGGGGGGGGGTCGGACCCCCCCCTCTCGTGTAGGAAGTACGGAGCTGGGAGTAGGGAGTGGTGAGTAGTGAGTAGTGAGTTAGTGCATAGTGAGTAGTGCGTATTGGGTAATAAGTAATGGGTAGTGAGTGGCGAGTAGGGAATAGGGAGCAGGGAGTGGGGAGTAGTGAGTAGCGAATAGAGAGTAGTGTGTACTGATAAGTGAGTAGTGAGTGGCGAGTAGTGAGTAAGTAGTGAGTAGTGAGTAGCGAATAGCGAGTAGTGAGTACTGAGTAGGGAGTAGGGAGTAACGAGTAGTGGGTAGTGAGTAGTGGGCAGTGAGTAGTGGGTGGCGGCAAGTGATTAGTGAGTAGTGAGTAGTGGGTAGTGGCTAGTGCATAGTGAGTAGTGAGCAGTGAGTAGTGAGTAGTGAGTAGTGAGTAGTGAGTAGCGAGTAGTGAGTAGTGAGAAGTAAGTAGTGAGTAGTGAGTACTGAGTACTACGTAGTGAGTAATGAGTAGTGAGTAGTGATGAATAGACAGTAGTGGTTAGTGGCAGTAGGTAGTGAGTAGTGAGTAGCGAGTAGGGACTAGCGAGTAGTGAGTAGTGAGGAGCGAGTACTGCGTAGTGAGTGGTGAGTAGTGAGTAGGGCGTAGTCCGTAGTGAGTGGTGGGTAGTGATTAGTGAGTAACGAGTAGGGAGTAGCGAGTAGTGAGTAGTGAATAGTCAGTAGGGTGTAGGGAGTAGTGAGCAGTGAGTAGTAAGAAGTGGGTAGCGAATAGTGGGTAGTGAGTAGCGATTGGTGAATGGTGGGTAGTGGGTAGTGAGTAGTGACTAGTGACTAGTGAGTTGTGACTAGTGACTAGTGACTAGAGACTACGTCGTGACTGGTGAGTGGGGAGTAGTAAGTAGTGAGTAGTGAATAGTGAGTAGCGGGGAGTGAGTAGTGAGTATGGAGTAGCGAGTTTGGGAGTAGCGAGTAATGAGTACTGAGTAATGTGTACTCATTATTGTGTAGGGAGTAGGGAGTAGCGAGTAGCGAATAGTGGGTAGTGAGTAGTGATTGGTGGGCAATGAGTAGTGAGTAGTGAGTAGTGGATAGTGGGTATGGAGTAGTGAGTAGTGAGTAGTGATTAGGGAGTAGTGAGTAGTGCTTAGTGAGTAGTGAATATCGAGTAGTGGGCAGCGAGGAGTGAGTAGTGAGTAGTGAGTAGGGAGGAGGGAGTAGTGAGCAGGGAGTAATGAGTAGCGAGTAGTGGGTGGTGGTAGTGAGTAGTGGATAGTGAGTAGTGGATAGTGAGTAGTGAGTAGGGGGTAATGAGAAGTGAGTAGCGAATAGCGAGTAGTCAGTAGTGGGTAGTGAGTAATGAGTAGTGAGTACTCTTTGGGGCTGGGGTTAGTGGTTGGGGTTAGGATTAGGGGTTTGGGTTAGGGTGAAGACTGAGGGTAGGGGTGGCAGGGGTCGGGTTCCGGAGTCAGGGGGCGGCGTGGCGAAAGGAGGGGGGGGGCGGCCAAAGGGGGGGAAGGGGGGGGGGGTCGGACCCCCCCCTCCTATTGAAAGGGGCGGAGGGGGGGGGTGTTCCCCGACGACGGATCGGGGAAAGGGGGGGAGGGGGGGGGTCCCCGACGACGGATCGGGGAAGGGGGGAAGGGAGGGGGGGGGTCCCCGACGACGGATCGGGGAAGAAGGGGGGGGTCCTACCCCCCCCCCTTGGGGAGATCCAGCGGCGCACCCTCCCTATATGGCCGGGGCCATCCTCTGCCCAGGAGCGCATATAATCCAGGCGCGGTGGCAGGATGGGCCGAAGGCCATTCGATGCACTGTTCCTGGGCCCAGGATGGCCCTGGCCAGGAGCGGCAGGATGTATCCAAACCCCCGACGTGATGACTTGTTCACGGCGTCGACCCCCAGAAGTCTCGACCCATGGCCCGCGCCCAGATTTTCATCCTGGATCTTCTGTCCTGGCGGACAGGGCCCCACTCCTCCTCCTCCTCCTCCTCCTCCTCCTCCTCCTCCTCCTCCTCCTCCTCATCTTCCTCCTCCTCCTCCTCCTCTTCCTCCTCCTTGGTGCACGGACGCAGGCGGCACCGCAGCGGCACGGCACTCGGTGAAGAGAGGCCAGGCGAGGCCTGCGACGACCGACTGCCCTTGCTCACGAGCCAGAGCTCGGTTGACCTGCAGGCCCCCATGGAAGCTCCTCGCGGAGAGCGGCCAGCGGCACATCTGGGCACCCAGCGACCGCCGACGTCGGACGACGACCACCATAACGACAACGACGGCACAACGGCGACGACAACGACGACGGCGACGACGACGACGACGACGGCCACGTCCACGGCCACGGCCTCGGCCTCGGCCACGGCCACGGCCACGGCCGCGCGCGGCCCGCGGGCGCGGCGGCAGGGCGCGCCCAAAAGTGCACCCGCTCGCCCCACAGCTGCGCGGGTACCCGCGGGTCCGGGACCAGCGGCCGCCTGCCCTCCGAGCATCGGGGCATCGAGATCTGGTTACACATGTACACTGTCACTGGCCAGGCGCATCCTGGGCCCAGGGGTGGGCCTGGCCAGCGGCAAGAGATATAGTGGGACCCAAGACAGAGGAACACCATTCCAGAACACAAAAACCCTCCACAGGCCAAAGCACACAGAACAGCCAAGCGTACCCTCCCCAGGATGCACAAGAGCACCCCACAAGCTCGAAAAACATGTGGGTGCCCTCCCCGAACCGACCTCGATCCTATGCCTCGGTCCGACTGTATACATATCCACTGCCACTGACCAGCCCCGTCCTGGGCCCAGCGTTGGACCTGGCCAGAGGCAGCAGATCTGTATAGTGTATAGATCTCGTCGCCCTAGAGCAGGCCGCCGCCGCCGGCGCCGCCGCGGCGGATCGCCGCTGCCCCCTCTTCCCAGGCATGCCCGCGTCGTTCGGGCGTCGGCGGGGCTGGACTTCGTGGGACTTGGTTTAGAGGTGTGTACCAAGGGGACGCCCCCCCCCCCCGCCCCCCGTCCCTGTCCGCTAACCGGAACAGCCGTCATCCGAAGAAACACCAGCTACAGCAGACTTGGTTTAAGGATGCTGATATACCCGGAGTTCTGACTATATCCGCGTCGTGGACAAAAGCTTGTTTGATCGGCGCTACGCTTTGGATCCAAGTTGCGGTCGTGGCTACGGCAGGGCTGCTGCGGTGCGAATTGGGCATGAAAGCGGCAAGAGAGCGGCAAGGAAGGCCGAGAGGTGAGGGGGAGAGGGTCCAGGACGTCCCGAGAGCCCTCAGAGCGTGAGGCACTTCGGGGCGTGCCGGAGGCAGGCTCGGGTCCCTGTGGCTGTCAGTGCGTCTGCAGAAGCATTGCAACTCCAGCGTCGTGAACAAAAAACGAGACGGAAGATGTGCGGATTCTGGGGGCCCTCGCTGGGCCTTAGGACCATCAAAACACGGCTCGGGATGAAGAACCGGCCCCAGGGAAAAGGTTGGAACTTCTGGGGACCGCGCATCGGACAAAATCACAGCATCGCATGCCCGTGGCAACTTTCTGGGCCGATGCGCTACGAGAGCGGCGCATGGCTTGGAGCAGCAGCGAATGCACGGGCGCGGAGTGCGAGGCGGGACAGGGGGGAGAACCCCACCAGAAGAGCACGAGGCGCGGGCGACAGAGCGCCAGAGTGACTCGGCATCCTGGCCAGCATAAGGGGGGAGGTCCGAAAGGTTATGTGAATGCCGTTCGGAGAGAGAAAGAGAGAGAGAGAGAGAGAGAAACAAAAAAGAGAGAGAGAGAGAGAGAGAAAAAAAAAAGGACGAGAGAGAGAGAGGGCAAGGCCTGAGAGAGACACGCACTGTGTCAGTCGACCGAACCTGAGAGAGTTGGAGTGGCGGGCCGTCTATCGACGGGGCCTGCCACGAGTCGAGCTTCACACGCACGTTTCGACAAAAAGACGAGCGGAAAAAGCGTGGGCGAGAAGTGCCCTCCCGCCTCCGCCTCGCGCATGGCCCACTCCCCCTCCCCAGGCAGAACAGAACGGCGAGGACGAAGGGGAGCTGGGCCACCCACGGTCGGGAATGTTTGCTTAGCGTGTCGCGGCGGCGGCCCCGGTGACACGCTATGCCCTGCAAGCGGAAAGCGTGTCGGCTCGCTAAGCGGGGCGGTAGGCTGGAAAGGTTCGGGACGTTGACGCTTGGGGACTGGGACCTGGTCAGCGTGTCCCGCCGAAGCGCAGTGGGCAAGAGCCGGCGCCGCACCACGCTAATCAAAAGTTCCCGACCATAAATTGGCACCCAGCGCTGCGCAAAGCGCCACCACATTCGTGCTCTCGCGCGGCCACCCCGGAGAAGAGCGAGCCTCCGACCCCTGACCCAGACCACAAGCGGCGAAGCGCAACGATCTTCGCGCCCCTGCCCAGTCCTCGCTGAGAACCATATGCCGACAACTCCCGCGCTCCAGCTCTGCGAGCTGCGCCCAGCCGCAGCGACGAGGGATGCCCACGAGGGCAGACAAAAACAATGGCTGACGGATGCGGCGCTGCTGCAGGCGCGTGCAGAGGCCTACCGGTGGGACCACCGTCCGCACACCGCTGGACCTCAGTTAGCTCACAGCTGAGCTGTGCCAGCTCCTGCTTGCAGGTCAGGCCGTCTCGGTCTTAAACGCCTCGGCAAAATCTAGGATCAGCCCAAGTCACTCCATCCGCAGAGATACTCCAAGAGTTCAAGGCCCTCACCCCGTCACCCGAGAAGGCGCATCTCTTGTGGCTGAGCCTGACTTCACACGGCGCGCACATGCACCGCCAGAAACCCTGGGTTGTGCCGGCACGGACCTCCCTGGAGGTGCCTTCTCGCTCCCGCGGGCCTCCGCGGGCCTTCCGCCCTTTTCGGGGACGCCCTGCCGAAAGGAGGAGACTGCCCTCCCCTCCCCCCCTCCCTCCCGAATCTCGGCGACGCGCCCGTGTTGTAGAGGCAGCGCATGTTTGCGGCCTGGGGCGGACTCGGAGGCACTCATGACGGGGAGGAGATGCAAGAGGGGTAGGAGATACAAGAGAAGGAGGAGGAGGAGCATTTTCAGGCGACCGAACAGGCGAAAAGAGGGAGGAGGGAGGGAGGGAGGGAGGAAGGAAGGGAGGGACAGTGGAGGAACGGCAATGGAAACCGACTCGATATAATCCCCAATGCCCCCATGGCAACCAATTCTGATGGACACCCCTGCGAGGGAAAGAAAAAGGCTTCCCAGCCGAGCAGTCCTGCTTCTGTTATTTGCCGTGTCCGAAGACAGCGCACTGGCAGAGACGAGAGGGGGGGACAGGAGGAGGAGGAGGAGGAGGAGGAGGAGGAGGAGGATAAGGCCTCCCCCACCGTGCAGCATCGCTTGGCCGAGGCGACCCTGCGCGGAGCCATGGCCTCAGCCCCAACCCCCTCTTGTCCTTCTCCTGTGCTTAAGTGCGTCAGTTCCCCGCCGCTCGGTCGTTCCTTCCCCGCCGCCGCTCGGTGCTCTTCCCCTCCCTGGCTTTTTGGCCAGGGTGGGACGGGGCCAGGAGCTGTTTCCCATCATGACGTCCTGCGCACGTGATGGGGCAATGCTCCCATGACCCTTTTGCATGCACATCGTCAGCAATCAAGTTTGGCTCGGGAGAGTCCCGCAAGGGACAATACGTCAGCCGAATACTGACAACAAAGCTGCATCGGCTCGCCTTGAGTGTCCGGCTCGATTGCCCTGATTTGACCAGGGCGCGAGGGCATCAGCCACGCGGACAACTCGGTAGCGACATCCGAAACCTACTCCCAAGAACCATCGATTCTCCTGAATCGATGGGAGGCGGGGGTAGGGCTTGGACTTCGACGTGTTCAACGAGTAGGGTTCGGATTTCGCCGCCGATGAAGACGAGGCGTCGCAGCAGCAGGAGCAGCAGCACGGCATCTCCCGCTTCGGCTCCTGCGCGTGCCGCCGATCGTGGACCCAGTGGGCGAAGCGCGAGGCCTCGGCGTCCAGACCGCCCTCGTCCTCGTCCTTCTCTTCTCCCCGCGCAGCCCAGCCATTCGGCCCGCCGTGTGCCCCGCGCCGTGCCAGTGCCGAGCGCGGCGCCACGCGCCCGGCGCTCCGCCCCCCAGACCTCCTCGCGTTGCGGATGCAACGACAATGGACACCCTAACTGTCCTACCCTTGAATTTAAACATCTGTGTAAAACGTAGGAAAATGTTCTAAACATGTTTTAAACACATGTTTTAGACATCTGGGATCTGCGAATTATTTGGCAGGATGCTTCCTCTCCATTGATCGTCCTCCAGAACCCTCGCGCTGTGAAAGAAAAACACGACGAGAAGCTCTTCGGTGTATTCGGCCTCCGGGAGCCCTTACCAGGCCCCGGGGCCGTCGAACAACGGCTCGGGATGCAGAACCGGTCCCAGGGAAGGGGTCCAGACCTCCAGGGGTCGCCCGTGCGAAAAAGCACGGCGTCGGGGGTACAGGACAGGCACGCGGCGTCACCGAAGTCCCGTGGCACGCCCGAGCTGGGTACGAGAAAGAGGGCGCGATGCCCCGCAGCAAATTGTTGTCCAGAATCGGCAAGGGCCCATGTAGGGCAGGCGATGTTTTGTCACGCCGAGCCGGCGACGACAACGACAACGAATCAGGTTCAAAAATCCAAACCCCTTCCCCAAGGCCAGCTTGTCATCCCCTGAGATCCTGGCGTTTTCGCCCAATTTCGGGCCCTGGGAACGGAAAGATCAGGTCCGGGGCCCCAGGGGCAATTTCTTGCGACTATTGCAAGTTGTAAAGAATCTCAGATCTGAGAGACCCAGAAATCCCAACCCTTTCCCCCGGGCTGGCTTCTCTCGGCGGCGCGCCCAGGAGGGAAGGCAGAAGGGGCGGGCCTTCTCGAGGGCTCGGAGGGCCTCCGCCCTTTTGAGAAGTTCTCTGAATCTCCGAAAACATCTCAGAAGGCTGGAGGGTCCCCCGCCGCCTTCTGAAAAGGCTGGCCCCCTAACTTCCCCCAATCCGCGGTCCCTGGAAGTCCCGACCCCTTTCCTCGGCTACACGCAAGAGTGACCCCAGGCATAAGTGACCTTTGGTGCGCGACTTTGCGGGGGTTGCCGAGAGGCCAAATCCGAGCGCGCAAAGCACTGCTGTCGCATTTTCGGCCATCTGGGGACCCCGGTGTGCCCGCACCAAAGGTCACTCTGGCGAAAGGTCAAAGGCAACGGCGACGGCGGCGGCAACGGCGCCGACGGCGATGGCGCGGCGGCGATGACGGTGACGACGACGCCGACGGTGGCGAAGGCGGCGGCGGCGGCGACGGCGGCGGAGGCGGCGGCGGGGGCGACGGCGGTGGTGGCAACGGGGGAGGCGTTAACGGCGGCGGCGGCGACAACGGCGGCGAGTGCGGGCGGCGGCGACGATTGCCGCCGCTTTCGCAGACCGCCGTCGCGAGCCGACAGCCCGCCTCCACGGAGAACGGCTCGGCGCAAAAGTAGCAGGAGTAGGCCAGCTCCTCGCTGTAGCGGTCCATGGCAGCCCTGCCCCCGAGGAGGAGGGTGCACCGAGAGAGAACCAAGGGGAGAGGCCATCCAGGAAGAGGAAGACGAGGAAGGGGGGAAGACGATAGGGCGGAGGGGGAGGAGGAGGAGGAGGAGGAGGAGGAGGAGGAGGAGGAGGAGGAGGAGGAGGAGGAGGAGGAAGAGGAGGAGGAGGAGGAGGAGGAGGAAAGCCACTGGCCCAGGAGGGGCTAGCCGTAGGTCGGCCTGCCCTCGGGTCGGGGCTCCGCGCGCCGCGGCGGGCCATTCGCGGCCGCCGCAGCCGCCCGCAGCTGCGCGGCGCCGCCGCCACTGCCCCGCGAGGTCGCGCCCTTGGCGCGCTGTGTGCAGGAGACGGCCGAGCCAGCTTGGCATCGGCGCGAGCGCCAGCGCAGAGCTTCTGCGCGCACACTTCTCAGGGTGGTCGAGGCGGTCAGCGCACTGGAGAATCACCACTCGTCGCAGAAGATGGCGCAGAGCTGGCAACCACAGACCCCGCGCCATGGATGGCGGTACGGGCAGGGCAAGCAGCAGAACCAGGGTGATCAGGATTGGAAGTCACACGTACCATGGTCTCGAGGACGTGGTCGCAGTCAGTCTCGTGCACGAGAGCAAGGTCAACAGGGTCAGCATAAGGTTCGACCCGAACATGACCGAGCACTGCAGAAGATCTACAATGGAATTCCGATTGCAACAGGGATCCCGCATACGTGTGCCCCCCAGAGGAGAAGCATGCGATGGTGGAGTTTAAGAGGAAGCTAAATACACGTTGTGTTAAGTTATTGAAGATGATACAGGCCGCAAAGGATGCAGGAGAGGATATCGAAGCCCAAAGGTGTGAGGTAAGCTGTATCAAATATTTACTGTTGATCATTCGGCCGAGTTATAAGCAGCGTAGTCCATTGGATGCTGAGCTGGAGCAGATTGAAAACCAAATTGCAAAGGTGGCGCAGGACAAGAAACATATGTTCGAGTTGGAGTCCGAGCTGAAGAGCAAGAGGTCGAAGATCCTGGAGGTCATCTCAGAGCTGAATCAGCAGAAGGAGCAGGAAGACGAAGAGGATGATATGTTATTGGAAGATCCAGATGACACACACGACCAGCAAGGCCAGCATTGACCACAACGGGGCCGGCAACAGAGGCAGCCTCGTGCAGATGGTCAGGGTGATCGAATGAAGGCAACTGGTCAGGCTGATGATCCTAATATGGCGGCGCTGATTGCTCAGATGGCCTCCTTGACACAGATGACCATGGCTCAAGCGTCAGCGCAAGCCGAACTCCGACAAGCTATTGGACAACAAGCACAAGTTGCTCAAGTGCAGGCAGAGCAGCAGCGGCAGCACTTTTTTGCGGAGCAGCAGCGTATACAGGACATGTATGCAAAGTCTCAGCATGACTTAATGGAGCGTCAACGTCAGAACGATCAGCGGGTAAGGGCCGAACAGGCCATGGCTCAGCAGATTCAGGAGGAGCAACAACGTGAACTACAAGCGAAGCAGCAAGCGATGGCTCAGCAGATCCAGGCCGAACAGCACCGTGCGCAGGTGGACGAGCAGGCGAGGCTGGAAGAGATTCGTCGTCGAACACTGCAAGCATTCCAGCACATCACTCCCGAAGAGCATGAGAAGCAGTTGAAGGAGTTTTATACCATGCAGGAGCGCTAGGCCGAGGAGGAGGATCGTCAGGAGCTTCGTGATATGGCGGCAGAGTATGCTCAGATGATTGACAATAGGCAGCAACAACAGGCGATTGTTACGGCGATTATTGCTGATGGTGTGAAGAAGGAAGCTGCTGGTGTGAGTGGGATGGCTACTGATGAACCTCCTCGTCCAGAGGCTCCGCCTCCTCACTCCCCCACGTCCTTTGATGGTCCAGAGATTGATCTGGCAAGTCGAATTGCAGAGGAGGAACGTATCAGTCGAGAACAGAGGGACCTTCGAGGTACCTACCAACCGCCTGAGCCAGGCTCGAAGGACGAGGCGGACATGCAGGCGTATGAGGAGGAGTTGCAGGCCATGATCGACCAGGTGAACCAGCCCACGCTGAGCCAGATGTACGGTGTAGAGCCGTACGAGCAGTATCCCGTTCCATCCTCATCGCCCGAAAGCCTCGCACCATCTACGTCGGCAGAATCTACGTTCGTTTCGCCGGCTCGACCTACGGAGGACCCGTACATGTTCAGGACGCCCGAGAACATCAAGGGTCACAAGGCCAAGGGCAAAGGAGGATTGGCGATGCAGCCGTTCGGGGTATCTTCAGCTGGTCATGGGAGTGCGATGCATGGATCTGGTGGCAAGGCTGGAAATGGTGCATCGTCGCCCTTACCTCCGACACCAGTGGCTGATACCCCTCGGCAGTTCCAGATCCACACCCCTGGAGGACTGGACGAACCTGTTAGTGACTCTGCAGCGTCATCATGTGGCCGCCCTCCTATGAAAGTTCGGCTGAGTGAACGTCCTGGAGGCAATGGATTTGAGCGCCCATGGGACCGAGTCGCTTTTCCAGCAAAGAAGGGTACACGAGGTACCCCCGACCAGTCGTCAAAAAAGTAGGTCGGCATCCTCTGTCCTGGAGGGATGGCCGCCAGGATGGAGGTCTAGTTACACCGAGGGCCACAGGTAATCAACGAATTCAAAGCATTGTGCGACCTCCGTCTTCTGATTGCGGGAGATCAAAAGACGGCAACTCCGAGACTGAAGCGACTGGGCAGGTCACCGAGCTTATCGCAGGTTGGCTCGCCAAACATCAACATGATTTCTCCCATCTCAGTGGCATCGTCTAGCTACAGATCTATGGATGGTGCGCAGGGTGATGGTATTTTTTCTTGTGCTACGGACCAGGACAGCTGTCGGGTAACCACGGTGGGTTCGATGGAACACGCTCTCCAGGGATGCGGCGATCCTCACTCCCTGGGCCGTGCACGTGCTGAACTTCCCCATGTTCCTCCCCCTCCAGGCTTGGAAGATGCAGGCAGTCAGCTTCGACACGACCATGTACACGAACAAGTACCTAGGCGTCTTGCATTGGCCGAGCTACTAGAGCCGCCACATATCTGCAAGACGAATGTCCCGAGCACATTTATGGTGCGCCAGCTCGAGTGGGACCCCATTGAGCTGAGTATGGACTTCACTGGCATTGAGCTGAGCGACATGGCTCGCCTGCCCTTGGAGTTGGCGCCGAAGTGCTCCTGCGAGCCCACGCAAGCGTTTATTTGGACGGATGGCTCTCACAAGGAGACTGATCCCACCTGTGATGGGTGGGCTGTGGTGGTCAGTTACCTTGCTGGGACGACACAGTCACTGCAGGGTTTTCCCACGTCAAGAACTTTGGTGAGTTCGAGAATGTTCTATGAGGGCTGTCATATGGATAGCACGACATCGGAGATCATGGCTATGATTTGGGCATTACATCATATTCTACAGGAGCGTCGATATCATGACATAGGATGGACAGTGACGACTGACTCGAAGATTACCCTTTGGATTATTCATAACAGGCATGGATACACTCCCAATGCGGACCTTGAGGCATACTTGACGGTGCTGGTGAGGGAGGTCCGCCATCTTTGCTCCATTACATTTGTATACACGTAGTCTCATGATGCGGATCAGTGGAACCATCCTGCAGATAATATTGCTCGATCAAACCTCGTCATACAACATGGGTGCCCACATGCAGATCTTGCAGACAGTATACGATATCACGCGGGGATGCAGTGATGCAGTGGACATGGTTGCGATACGATTCTCGAGCAATGGCTTCGTATCCAGAACTTCATGGTGACGGACTTCATTTTTTCGCTACCTCAGTGGACACCGATGGCTCCCAATAGGAGCAGCATGGACGACTTCAAAGGCACGCCTTATCCCATGTCAAGTGTTGGTGTAACAGAGAATGCAGCAATGAATCGCAAGCAGACATCAGCACAGATCCGTTTTTCTATGGCTACGTACAATGTTATGTCCTTCACTGAGGCACGCTCAAGCAAGCTAAATAGGCATCAGCGAGAACAAAAACGACGTCGACTTCAGAGGCTTCGGATGCAGTTTCAAGATGAACAACTGGTGCTCATTGGGCTACAGGGGGCAAGGGGTCGTGAAGGACAGCAGTGGGCGGATGGATATATCACGTTGAGGTGTGGAGCGGATGCTGGTGGCCATGGATGCGCATTGCTAGTCTCAACAAACATCCCATATGCTATGGTGAAAGAATAAGGTTTGTTTACCTACAGGCTCGGCATCTGCGTGTATTGCACAAGGGCCCGACGCGACTGGTTGTTCATATTCAGGCACATCATATTAATATTCGAGTGGCTGTTCTACATGCACCACAGAGAGGATAGCGCATACAATTGCCCAAAGAATGGTGGGACAAGGCTATTGAAATCAATGAGCGGTCTCAGAGTTCTGTTCATATGATGGATGCAAATGGTCGGATTGATGCTGAGGCTGCGGAGCTACCATATGTTGGCACGTGTCCTCCACATAATAAGACAGACGACTCTGGGAGACGATTGGTGGATTCTGCGACGAGGTTTGAGATATACCTAGTGAACACATTGATAGGCGAGGAGACCAGCTGGACGCGCACCGATGGCACAGCGAAGCACCGCACGGACTATTTTGGGGCCCTCCCCAACAATGGTATGATATCCTCAGGCGTTTTCGGGCGATTGAGGACTCGGGTACGGGCCTCTCGCAGGAGGATCATCGCCCTGTGGTGGTTGAGGTGTTTGGACAGCATATTGCAGCGCCGTCGGATGGACGGCGGCATCTTGCATTGTCCTTTGAGAAGATGGAGGGCCCTGAACGACGTGAGGACTTTCGGCTGCGACTACAGAAGCATGAATCGGTGAAGTGGAATGTTGATGTGAATAAGCAGTATACGGATGTGATCGGGGTGGTGAAGACGGAGGCAGCTGCTGTATTTGGGCGCGACTTGTTCACGCCGCACCAGCCATGCATATCGAGACACACCATGCAGTTGATACGATTGAGACGCTG